CCAGCCCTCCAGCTCCAGAGGATCTTAGTCATGTGTGAATATCAGCACATGTTTCAAGCCCACCCAGGGATCCAAACTGTGGTCAGCTGCGTGACTTCTAACACTGTGGTTCAGGTTGTTACCCACTGTGCATCAGTTGGGCAAAAGTGGAATCTTTTCTGATGGTTGTTTGACAGTATGTATCAGAAATCCTAATGTCTCAATTCATTGTTATCTTTCTAATTTTTTTAACTATAAAGAATTATGTAATCAGAATTAATTTTAACTGCAGAGTTTATCATAGGAAAATAATCAAGAGATGGATGAAAACCTGTATAAACAGATTGATGTTAGGTTTTAGTGTGATAGTGAAAAATGAGAAGCACAATTTATTCATGTGATAAATATCATGTGACTATGAGGAAGCCTGTTATCTGGGGGCAAATGAGCTACAAAGTAGTCTGGCTTTTTTTTTCCCCTTTGTTAAGTAATTATGCAAAAATATATGACCATTTAGTATAGATACAAAACAACCAAACCTCATGGTTTTTTAGTGGTTAGCTGTACCTGGGGAGATGATAGGTGAACTTAGTTATTTACTTTATATTTTTCTCAGTGTGGATTAATTGCAACATCAAGAAACTTGATTTTTTAAAATACAAGTCACTCAGGGCCAGCAGATGGTATAGTGGTTAAGGCACTGGGTTCCCACATGGCCAGCCATAGTTTGAGTCCAAACCAGGTGACTTGAAAGTCATGGTGGGCATGTGTACACGCATGCCCCAAATCCTGAGAGGAGAATGGAGAAGAAGGGACTGTGATGTGGCCACCCCCTCTCTCCCCAGGGAGTGACTTTCACATTTCCTCTCTGTCTCTCCCTGTCTCTTTCTAGTGAATGCATGCACCCTGTGGCAAAAACTGAAAAACGAAAACAAAAATATGTAACTCTGGTAATTATGGATAAAAAGGTTTTTTTTTTTCTTTTCTTTTCAAAAAGAAAATGATTCAGATAAATGGCAATGTCATTTCTAGTTTCCACTTTTATTTCTTACTGACAGTGTGATTTATTTGGTATGTGTTGTTAGCTGATTAGCACGCAGGGCCCTAATCATCTTCCTAAGGGCACATACACATTTCTCTAAGTTCATTTGTTGGAAAAGCTCAAAGGCTGAGATGCCGAAGGAGTATTTGATGTGGCATTTAGTCCCTCAGGAGTTACCCTCTTTTTCTCTGTCTGCCCAGCCACTTTAATCACTCACCTCTGCTGTTTTCCAACTTGAAATCACCCTTACACTGCCAGGCTGGTGATGAGCATCTCCCAAACAGAGCTGCTGCAGGATGGCCCGGGAGGTCCCTCCCCATCACAGCTTGGTCTTCAACCTTTGATAGACTCAGGCAGCCCTACAAATGCATTCGCCTAAGGGATCTCCTGGTGAAAGGGAGCCTAGATGGTCTTCAAGCCCATTTTATGCTTTGGGAAACTTATCATCTCTGAGCTTCACTGCCCTTCTTTCTTCAGCAAATAGTTAAACCTCTACTACGCTAAGCACTTTGTGACCAAGGTCGGCAAGTACTTGAGGTCCTTGAGCTCTTGTTACCTTCTAATCTGAAACTGGAAATTTAATACTTACCTAAGAGCGTTAGACAAGAATGCTGTGTAACGTCACGCCTCCCTGACACCTGCACGTTCTCAGTGATGTTCATTGATTTTCCATGATTTCAGTCTCTGAAACTGGAGCAAGCCTAGCATGGTCTATTCTGTGCTTAGATCTCAGCAGAAAATCTTTGCTCCGTGACTTGGTTCTGTTGCCTCATGGACAGGAACCCCTGAATGACATGCCCAGCAATTGCTCTCCTGTCACGGACACTGGCAAAGAAGGAGATTGCTCCAGCCCGACCCACCCTTCCTGAGCACCAGCTTTGCTGGCAGCTGGAGAGATGGGGCTGGGGGTTGGTGTGGCTTCCTTGAGGTTTCATGCATCTGAGTCTGCCTGCAGCGTGCAGATCCTGCTCTCACTCGTTCAGGCCCTAGGTGGGCTTTCTTGTGCTGTGGTCACGTTGGCCTCCACTTGAACACGTAGGCTGTTTTCTCCTCAAGTGCACATTTCTTCTGAGACTCTCTAGCCCAAGGCTGTTGAACAGGGAAGAACTTTAGAGGTCATATGATTTGTGCAAGCAAGCTCAGAGATGTGACATGCTCACGGATAGTAAGTGACAGAGGCTCCATCCTGCACCACATGTCCTTCTTCCTTTTTTTTTTTTTTTTGGAGAGGTTTTTGCTATAGGGCATGTGCGCTCACCAGACAGACAGAGACAGAGAGACAGAAAGTGAGAAATCACCCCCCAGGTGGGATGGCCAGGCCACAATCCCTTCTCCTCCATTCTCCTCTTGGGATCTTGGGCACGCATGCACATGCACCTGGTTTGAGTTTAAGCTACCAGGTCCGGGACTCAAACCACGGTCGACTACATGGGAGTTCAGCGACATAACCATTATGCTAACTGCTGGTCCCCTTGTTCTTAAGCTTATTTATTTCATCCTTGAAAGAGACAGAGACAGAGGCAGGCATCGCCAGTAGCGACTTCACATTGCAGTCTACCCCCAGCCAGCCCTGAGCATGGGCACACATGGGCACACATGTGCCCAGGGAAGCTCCTGGACACAAACCCCATGTGAGTTTACATCACCACTGTGCTCCGGCATGGTCCTGCAAATTGCACTTTCATTCTGTGATGTTATGGGCATTTCTGTTGGAACAGGAAACTGTTCTTCTCAGAGGACAAAGCATTCCAGATTCCTGTGCAGCTTTAGGTCAAGGCTACCCGGTCCTGTGGAGAGCCAGTGGCCAAGGAGGGTGGACACTATTAGATTTGTGTGCACCGTTGGACAAGTCCAGGTTTTGCCAAGCATTGAGTCAGCAGGTCCCCGTGCCCCTGCCCTCTCCAATGGGAGCATTTTCATCTCTTTCTCATATGCTCGTGATAGCCCATTAATGTTGAGAATGAAGGAAAACAACCTTGACTAATTAAAGAGAAGAAATGGCAGAATGAGGAGGTGACAGTGCAGTGCGTTCCTGGAGCTTGCTTCTGAACGTGGCCCAGCTGTGAGGACATAGAGTGTTGGCACCTCACGCCCCCGCCCCAGCTTTGACTTTGATTCAAGATGTGGCCCCTATGTTAAAATCCCTGGGGAAACTCCAGGCAGAGGTGTTCTTTTCACACATATTCTCTAGAGCTGTGGTTGGGAAACATGGAAATGCCCATGGGAGACGTTTGCCGCATGTTAATAAGCATGATGAAAAAGGAGGTGAAACAGTGTTTACGTCTCTTTCTCCAGGGACGTCTAGACTCCGGCCTTTGCTCTCGTCCGCTTTCTGTGTTTTACAACTTAGTTGTTTATTTTGCTTACACAGGACCAGCTCTCAGCTGACATGTACAGTTTTGTGGCCAAAGAAATTGACTATGCAAACTACTTTCAAACGGTAAGAGTCCAGAAAGGTGAGATGGCTCAGAGTTCTTTGCAAGCGCCGTGGTGCAGATGGGAATGGAGTGTGGGCATGGAACCCAGGGCATTCACAGCAAGAGTGGAGCTTTGTTCACCTGTGAATAACCCTGGCTTCTCATCACGCCTTGTAGAGTTATTCAGGCATCCCCGAGTGTTCTGCACCTCAGTCGCTACAGTGGCTTCAACCAGGAGCGATTTGGCCCCTTTTACAGTGGACATTTAGCAATACCCGGAGACATTTTGGGTTGTCGCAGCTGCGGAGGGAAGTGCTGCTGACATTTAGGGGGTGGAGACCAGCGGTGCTGCCAAATAGCCTGCACTAAGCAGGACAGTGCCCACATGACGAATCCCCTCACCCCAAATGTCAGCAGGACCAGCATCCAGACACTGTGACCTATGACAACCAAGGACTTGAGGAGAACAGAAAGAGAACCACCCTCCTGCCCCAGCACATTTTTTAAATTCTTGATTTTTGTTACAGACAGTGACAGATAGCTAAACAAGGATTGATGTGGTCTGTTGTTCTGCCTGGCAACCAACCACCAAAGCAGCTTTAGAGACTGAGAAGCAGGATCTGAGTCATCTAAATTTGCATAATCTGGTCCAGATAATTAGACCCTCGCTGTTTACCAGGGTAAATGCAAGGAAAGATTAAAAAAAAAAAAAAAAAAAAAAAAACCACACAATAACTTTGAGGAAGAAAAAAACAAAACAAAACAAAAAAACAAATGATAAAAATGGTTGTGGCCCAGCCATGGTAGCATATGCGTCATATGCACCGGACACGGGTAAGCTGAGGCCACAGTGGAAACCCACATTCCATTTTCAGTCCACCCTAAAAACCAAGATGCAGTGAGATGACCGTGGGCCCAACTACTCAGGAGGCTGAAACAGGAGAGTCACGACATGGTGAGACCCCGTCTAAAACACCACATGCACATACACACACACGCACACACACACCCCAAAATTAAAACAAAACAGTTATGTTCGCCTTGGTTGGAAGTTGGAAATGAAATGCTAAGACTTAAAAGCTCTTCTTTAGGATCAAGAGAGTGAAGGAATGATGGGGAAGGAAGGCAAAGAGGAAAAATAAAAATAAGGAGAAATCCTAAAAAGTTTAAATACATTGAGGAGGATAGCGGGACCGTGGGGAGCTAGTAGCAGTTTCCACCATCTTTGTTAGAGGTTTGGTCTACAGAAGCGTCCCTTCTACCCTGAAAAAAGCTAATATATTAGGCCCAACTTGGAAAGTTTCTTTTTAAATAGTGTTTTTTTTTTTCAAGTATATCCCGCTGGTTTTATTTGTTGTTTAATTTTAGCATTTCTGAAATGAAGGGACTTATTGACGTCCCAATCTTTACTAGATTGCCTAATCATCATTTGTATACCACTTAACATCACGATTTGAAGCAATAACAAAAACCCGGGTTAGATGTACTTTCGTTTTACTTGGGGACAATGGTGGCTCCCGTTGACACCAGATATTCGAACACTGATTTCCGTCCCCTACGCATATCTGATGCTTGGGATGGGAGAGGGAAATTCAGAAACACATGAGATAACTCTTGTTCACAGATGTTCAACTGTTCTTCTCCATCTGTCAGCTGCTTTTCCTTAATGGGATGATCATGTCCAAAGCAGTTTTACCACCCAAGGTATCCTTGAAGAGAACTGTGGGTCAAGCCACAAGTTTTCTGATCAGTTCCATGTTACACTAACTCGGCAGACACCCAGCTGTATCCGGGTTAAGGACATTTCACCTGTGTTATCTTGGAGGCAAATGAGCCTCTACATGTGGTCCCCTGGTGTTGCATGTGTCCTTGTTATCTTTTGCTTTGAGAGTGGGGTGCAAATGCTGGTTCTCTAGGCCAGGCCTTGGCTCTGGGGTAGTCCCCCCCATTCCTTCAGTGTTCTCCTGCCTCCCACATTTCCACTGTGGTGACTCCTTTGTCACAGAGGCAATAGAGAAGGCATGCCCATCAAACGGAGTGGCCTGGAGGAGGGGGCAGAGGGCCCCAACTCCTCCCCCATCTCTTAAGTTCCTTCTTGCAGAATTCTCTACGTGCCAGGCCATAGCAGCCCATGTTCTCGAACCCGAGGCAAAGGTAACTTGCTTTGTGTTTTCTCAGCTCATAGAAGTGCAAGCGGAATACCACAGGAAGTCACTGACACTGTTGCAGGCGGTGTTGCCTCAGATAAAAGCACAACAGGGTAAGTGCAGCCCTTGTTGCAGAGCGAGCACGGGAGAGCCTGCTTGCCTTGCCCAGTGAGAGCAGCTCATGTGTAGGTGAGCCACTGGGACATCCCAGGCTGGAGCTTTGATCCAGTTAGTGAGCAGAGCACACTCACGCTACCCCTTCCTCCATGGGGGCCAGTCGGGTGCATGGAAGTATGTGGACGAGTGCGTGTAACACAGCTGGCTGCTCACCCATCCTCTGTGTTCCTCTCATCATTCCCCCAAACCACAAGAACAGAATCCCAGCTGGGCCTCCATTGCTTTGATCATCTTAGAGTCAGGATGACCAGAGAAGAGAGTGCAGCCAACAAGAGCAACTCGTGTAACCTGCCGACTGACACCTCTCTTGCCCCTCTCCCTCAGAGGCTTGGGTAGAGAAGCCTTCCTTTGGGAAGCCACTGGAGGAGCACCTTATGATCAGCGGCCGGGAGATCGCCTTCCCCATCGAGGCATGCGTGACAATGCTGCTGGAGTGTGGGATGCAGGAGGAGGTGGGTGTGAGAGCTGCCAAACCCAGCCCCGAGTGAGTCTCCTGCTCCATGAGACAGAACCTCCAGGCCTCCTGGGTCGTCCCCACCTCAGTCTGCAAACTTAGACATGCTGAAATGCAGAATGTGGGGCAGCCCTGTCTCCTGTAGAACGCTGATCGGTCCTGCATTTTTCCCATGAGCCTTTGTGAGAGATTGACATTGGCTGGCTACAGGGAGTTAGTGGCCACATTCTAGCTGTTCTTCCTTCATGTTTAATGTGATTTGATGTTTCAGTATTCTGAGACTGCTACTATTGGATCGTTGGAAAAGTCACAATGTATTTTTCTGTGCAAAAATGCACCGTGAGGGACCAGCAGTTAGCGTAATGGCTATGTCGCTGGACTCCCATGTAGTCGATAGCAGTTCAAGTCCCGGACCCTGTAGCTTAAACTCACTCCGGGTGCGTGTGCGTGTGTGCCCAAGATCCCAAGAGGAGAATGGAGGAGAAGGGATTGCGGCATGGCCATCCCCCCGGGGTGTGATTTCTCGCTTTCTATCTCTCTGTCTCTCTCTGTCTTTCTGGCGAGCGCACGTGCCCTTTAGCAAAAACCTCTACAAAAAAAAAATGCACTATGACTTTTCTGATGACCCAGTACTTCTGCTTCTTCCTCTTTCTCTTCTTCTTCCTCCTCTTCCTCTTTCTCTTCTACTTCTTTCTTCTTGTAATCTTTTTACTTTTTACTTCTCCTCTTGCTCCTCTTCCTCCTTTTGCTTAATAAGTTGATTTTCAAAATAGAACTCTTAAACCTTTTCTGTCTAACTCTTTCTTAAAGATCTTGAGCATGTGATTGATAGAGACATTAGAAAGTACCTTTTAAGACCCGCGTGTGATAAAGGTCTATGAGAAATTGGTGGTGCCTGTTGTTTTTATTGCTGTGCAAATCGTTTCCTAGGAGATAGGTCTCATCTTTGGTTTTTCCATAGGCTATTTTAACGTCTCCACTCTATCCTCTAATCAATCAATACTAATTTGGGGGCATGCTAAGCGTTTTATTGCTGAACAAAGTGAGATGGGGACTTGCAGATTTAATGGGGGACTGCCGACTGACACCTCTCTACCAGATAGCCCTGCTTAATCTCAGACTGCCCGTAAGCCCTTCAGTCAGCGTGAGTGTTTAGGGCAAACTGTGAGGAGCCAGAGTGCATTCAGGTGTGTGTTAGTCACTTCCCCTGTGCCAGGCCGCCTAGATGCTGGGCATTAAAGAGGAGTGGAAATAGAGGTATTTTTTGACCATATTTATTTTACTAATTGTTTTCATTGCCAGAGGGTACAGGTGCTTGCCAGAGAGAAGGAGAGAGCAAGCAACCCCCTAGTGGGGTGTGGTCAGATTGCAGTCCTTTTCTGTCCATTTCTCCATCCATCAAAATTTTGGACACACACACATGTGCCCAGTGTGTTTTTCAACCTGCTAGGCCAGAATTCAAACCACAGTGGGTCACGGGAGATCTGGTTCCCTACATTTAACCACTATGCTGCAGAGCTGGCCCTGACCACAGGCAGGGTCACGTTTGTTATCAATGAAAAAATGAGAAGTTACCTGAACACTCTAGCCCTGACAGAAGTCTCATGGAAGGGGGTGAAGTGGGCCTTTTTTTTTCTCTCTTCACTTTTTTTTTTAAATCATAGAGAAACCGAAACACATCAAGATAAGGAGCTTCCTCACCCAGCTCATGGTCAATCTTGTTTCATCTGTCTCCATTTCCTGCGCCCATATCCCTATCTTGGGTATTTTGAAGCAATCTCAGACATATCGCTTCATTTATAATACTTAAGTATGTTCTCTAAAAGATAAGGAATGTTTTTAACTATAGCTATAGTAACACGATATCTAAAAAGTAACACCGATTTATTAATATCATCAAATATCTCATTAGTGTAAACTGATTCTTGAAGAATGGGCGCACTCGGAAATTTCTGCGCTGTCTCCTGGTTCTCCGGTCTCTGCCCTTTCCAGGCCATTCTGCCTTCCCCAGACCTCACACCTTCACTTGCATTTTCCCTCCTTTGCATCAGCTCTTTTCATCTGGTTATAAAAACGCTCAGTGGCCTAGCCTGGAAAAGACTATCCTGTTTCAGCCCAGCGACATCCTCACAGCCTTGCCTAGCTCTTTGGTCTTGTTTTGTATGCTACTCAGTTTCTTAAAATAGCTCTCAACATTTGCTGCCCCTGCATCCTAACCACTACTTATTCATGGATATCCATCTGAGAGTGTCACTTCTGCGTCCCTGCTGGGTTAAAACTGCCTACAGTGATCCCCAGAGACCCCAGATGGCCAAATCTGATGACTTGGGCCCAGCCTCAGTGACCACGTCACTGCCTGCCGTGTTACTAATGCAGCACTCTCTTGCCCCCTCTCTGTCTGACCTCTCCTGCAGTGTCATCATCCTGTCCTAGAGCTTCAGCGAGGTGTCCTCCTGTGCCCTGTGGAAAGGTTCCACTGCTTTGTTTGCAGCCATGCCACGTCATTTCTATGTCAGTTTTTCTCTAACACTGGACTCACTCGTTCTCTTAATAACCCCCTCCTCTTCCTGCTTCACACAATGGAACAGTGTTCTCAGTTATAGAATCAAATACCTGAGAGCTTATATTTGAGAGCTCGATTTCCTTCTCTGTGGTGGTGTCCTTACCAAATACTCTTGGTTCTTCTTACATGGTTATGGCCTGGTTTTGTGAGGCTCTAAGTCACTCTTGTAATGCATTCTGTAGTGTGTCCTCTTTGTTGTAGCAACCTTGCTAATGTACTGGTCCACACGTATTCATGTTGCTTCCTTGCATAAACGCCAAAGAGCTTTGGATACCCGTCTATCTGGTATACCATATATTGAGAATGGAGTGAGCAATCTAATAGGCCAAAAGCTCAGTGTTCCAGACCAAGGCCAATTTCTTCTAAAGGAACTGGGAAGTCTGAATGGTAATAAAAGATAAACGATCAGGGCCAGCAGGTGGCATGGTGGTTAGGGTATAGGACTCCCGCGTGATTGGCTGCAATTGGTATCCCAGACTTGTGACTTAAGAAATCATACTGGGCACTGGAGCTAGCAGGTGGTGTGGTGGTTAAAGGGACTGGACTCTCACTTGACTAACCACAGTTCGAGTCCTGGATCTTCTGGTGGCTTTTTCTCACTATCTAGCTCTCTCTCTCTATTTCTGTCCTGCTTTGGTCAAATTAAACATTTTTTAGGGACCAGCAGTTAGCATAATGACTATGTTGCTGGACTCCCACGTAGTCGACTATGGTTCACGTCCCGGATCCAGTGGCTTAAAATTCACACCGGGTGCATGTGTGTGTGTGCCCAAGATCCCGAGAGAAGACTGGAGGAGAAGGGATTGCGGCATGGCCATCCACCCTGGGGCGTGATTTCTCACTTTCTGTCTCTGTCTCTGTCTGTCTGGCAAGCGCACACACCCTATAGCAAAAACTTCTCCAAAAAGAAAAAAAAAAAAGAAAAAAAAATTTTTAAAAAGAAAATAAATAAAGTTAAATAAAATAATTCTTTAAAAAAAAAATCATATGGGGAACTTGTGTGTGCATGCCCAAAATCCCAAGGGGGAAGCTAGAGAAGAAGGAATTGCAGGTGGCCATCTCCCTGGGAGGGTGATTTCTTACTTTCTCTTTCTCTGTTTCTCTCCAGCAAGCACATGTATTATGGCGAAAACCTTAAAAAAAATAAAAAGGGGTAAAGAGCAGGGAATATTCTGCCCACTTATTTCTCAGTGTGTGGGTTGCATCCCACACTGCGGGAGTTAAGGTGAAACAGAAATCAGCAGAGCTTCAGCCTGTGTCTAACTTTCCTGTGAGTGGGGTGTGTGGGGGGAGTCCGTCCAACTCTGAGCTGCATTTGTCCTCTACAGGGTGTAGTGATTCATGGGAAAGAGGTAGCATGATTTGAATGTAACTTTTTTTCTTTTTTGGAGAGGTTTTCGCTGTAGGGCAGACAGACAGAGACAGAGAGACAGAAAGCGAGAAATCAACCCCTGGGGGGATGGCCACGCTGCAATCCCTTCTCCTCCATTCTCCTCTCGGGATCTTGGGCATGCACGCACACACGCCCGGCGTGAGTTTTAAGCCACCGGGTCCGGGACGCGAACCGCGGTCGACTACGTGGGAGTCCCGCGACATAGCCATTACGCTAACTGCTGGTTTCCTGAATTTAACTCTTAAGAATGGGACACGGAGGCCCAGCTATGGTAGTACGTGCTGGTAGATGCTGTTACCCAGCAGACTGAGGTCACATGGGAGGCCCGGGTCCTGTTTCTGGCACACCCTGAAAACCAGAGTACCTGTAGTCCCAGCTACATGGGAGACTGAGGCAGGAAGATCATGATACGAGACTTTGTCTTAAAAGAAAAATAAAAAGAATGGAATGTGAAAGGACAAAAGAGATCTCCCCTTCCCCTGACGACATAGACTTTCTTTAATCTAAAAGCATAGCCCTGGTGCCTCCCAGCCCTCCCCAAAACACACAGACATGCTATAGACCTCTTTACATTCTCATCTGTCTTGAGCAGATATTCCATCCTTAAGTGTACTTATTTATTTTTATTATTTTTTTCTAGGTTTTTGCCATAGGGTACATGCAGTTGCTGGTGAGAGACAGAGAGAGACAGTGAGAGGGAAAATGAGAAATCACCCTCTGGGGGGGATGACCACACTGCAATCCCTTCTCCATTCTCCTGGGATTTTGGAAATGCACATACATGCACCTAGTGTGATTTTCAAGCCTCCAGGTGGGGACTTGAACTGCAGTTGTCCACCTGGGGTGTAGTGATTCATGGGAAAGAGGTAGCATGATTTGAATGTAAAAAAGGAATGCTCCCTGAACCAGCGGTGCACCTCCCACTAGGCCATGAGCACACCGTAGTGGATACAGCCTGGTCCCTGCTGTACAGTTGCTTAAGTCTGAAGGAAGAGACACATAAAAACGGGCAGCTGCAGTATTGAAAGTGGTGTTGGACAAAGTGCAGGAAAGGAATGGGTAGACTTTCTGTCTGTCCATCTGTTGTTTTGCTCTTGGGCCTTTGAGTCGCTGGAGCATCCACTGAGCCTCTGTCCTATTGGTAGGGGGTCCTCCCGGTTCCTCGGCCTCCAAGCTGAAGAAGCTGAAAGCTGCACTGGACTGCTGTGTGGTGGACGTGCAGGAGTACTCAGCGGACCCCCACGCCATAGCAGGTGGGTCCCCACGGCCTCTCGGGAAGGTGCTCCTAGGTCTCTAGGGACTCACAAGGACGGGGTGTCAGGGACACTCGGGCCGGTGTCTTCCAACAAGCTTCAGAGGGCCTGGTAGCTACGTTCCCCTGAAGGAAGGCCTCGCCATGTGTCAAGAGAAGATGGGATGACAGGAGAAATAAGAGGGGGAGGCCAATGTGATTGCTAACCCAGGTCCTCCTGCCAGAGCCCTGGATCCATCCATTGTAGGTAGCCACCATTTGACTTGTGTCGTTAGCCAGAGAGATGGTCTCCAGGTGGAACTCTCACACGAGTAAGGCAGGCTGGTGGGACTTGTAGGCAGGCTCCTGGGGCTTTTGCTCAGCTGTGGTCCTGACAGCTCACGGCCAATATTGTGTTTCTGCCCAGGAGCCTTGAAATCTTACCTCCGAGAGTTGCCGGAACCACTCATGACCTTCGAACTCTATGACGAGTGGATCCAGGCTTCCAAGTGAGTACCCTCTGTTTCGAAGTGTCTTGTGGGGCTGGAGGTTATTTGAAAGGACAGTTGTTCAGCCTCTAACAGCAGGTATACAGTCTGAGAAGGTGCCATAGTACAAACATCGCAGAGGGCACATCACAAACCCAGAGGGTCTAGTCTGCCACACACCCAGGCTATGTGGTGCAGCCTGTCCTCCCAGGCTACAGACCCATAATCACGTTACTGTACTGAGCGCCGTAGACGACAGCAGCACAGTGGAAAGTGGATGTGTCTACACATGCCTAAGGGTAGAAAAGGTACAGTAATGGGCCAGCCAGGTGATGTGGCAGTTAAGGTACCTGAATCCCACATGGCTGACTGCACAGTTTGAGTCCTGGACCCAGATGTTTAAAAAATACACTGGCATGTGTGCATGTATTCCCAAAGTCCCAAGAAAAGAGTGGAGGAGAAGGGATTGTGGCATGGTCATCCCCCCAGTGGGTGGGGGTGATTGCTCGCTCTTCTTTCTCTCTCTCAGGTAAGCACACATGTCCTATAGCAAAGTTTTTTTTAAAAAAAAAAAAAAAGAGGAGGGAACCAGCAGTTAGCGTAATGGCTATGTCGCTGGACTCCCACGTAGTCGACCGTGGTTCGTGTCCCGGACCCGGTGGCTTAAAACTCACGCCGGGCGCGTGTGCGTGCGTGCCCAAGATCCCGAGAGGAGAATGGAGGAGAAGGGATTGCGGCGTGACCATCCCCCCTGGGGGGTGATTTCTCGCTTCCTGTCTCTATGTCTCTCTCTGTCTGTCTGGCGAGCGCACGTGCCCTACAGTGAAAATCTCTCAAAAAAAATAAATAAATTAATTAATTAATTAAAAAAAAAAAGGAGGAAAAGAAGAAAGAGAGAGAAAGAAAAGAGAAGAGAAAAGATACAGCAAAGATTCTATTTAAAAGATTAAAAATGCCCCACCTGTGCAGGGCACGTGTCATGAATAGAATTTGCAGAAGTAACAGGTGCTCTGGGAGAGTGAGTGAACATGAAGGCCTGGGACATTACCTACGCTGCTGTAGACTTTGTAAACACTGCACACTTAGACTAGGTTAAGTTTATTTAAATTTCTTCCTTTAGTAATAAAGTAACTATAGTTTACTATAACTTATTTACTTTATAAACTTTTTTTTTTTACATTGTGATTCTTTTTGTAATAATACAGCATACAATACAAACACATACTTGAGTAAAAATATTTTTTTCTGGACCACTGTGCTGTTTGAGTCTCAGACCTGGAAGCTTGGGGAAAACAAAACAAAACAAAAAAAAAAACCACTGGGCATGTGTACGTGTGGATCCAGAAACCTGAAAGGAGAGGTGGAAGAGAAGGAATTGTGCCATGACCACCCCTCATTGTGGGCTGTTTTCTTTCTTTCTTTCTCTCTCTCTGGCAAGCACACATACCCTAGAGCATATTTTTTTATTATTAATTTTTCTTTCTTTTTATCCTTCTTCTGTAAGTGGTTTTCTATTTAATTTCTCAGAGGTTGTGTGGTGCTCCTCAAGAGAGACAGAGAGAGACAGAGAGAGGGAAATGAGACAGCACCCTCCACCTTGGGGGATGGTCACGCCACAGTCTGCTCTCCATCTCTCCCTCCTCCTGAGGTTTTGGACACACACACACACACACACACACACACATACAGTACGTTTCTCAGGATACCAGACTCTTGACTCAAACCCCATAGCTGGCCATGTGAGATCCATCCCCTTTTACCATCACTCCATGGGCTTCTTCTCTGACCTTTATGTTTTTAACTTTGGTGTTATATGTTTTCCAAAGTAGAATAGAGTATGCATTTTTTTTAAAAAAAAAAGAGTAGCTGGGAACCAGCAGTTAGTGTAATGGCTATGTCGCTGGACTCCCACGTAGTCGACTGCAGTTCGTGTCCTGGACCCGGTGGCCCCAAAATAAATAAATAAATAAATAAATAAATAAATAAATAAATAAATAAATAAATAAAAGAGTAGCTGAGTGCATGCTACCCTTACATCTCACTGAGTTTATTTTGTGTTCTGTGATGATACATAAATAAATGGCTCATTTTATATTAACGTCCTGGCATTGCGATCAGCTCATTTATGTTTCCCACTCATTTATTTGCACACCCTATGAAGCGGGCTGTTGTTTCCCTCATCTGACAGGCGAGGAATCTGGGCAGGTATGCAGCGGCAGGATCCTTGCCCGCTAGTCAGTGACAGAGGAGAATTCGAACCCAGGAGTCTGGCCCAGAGCCCAAGAGCCTAGCCAGGGCCCTTTATGCCTGTCTAGGCCCTAAAGTGCTCCTAGGGGCAAAGTCAAGTGAGAACATACTTTGGGATGGAAATGACCACTCCTTTACTGAATATTAGAAGAGACTTAAAACGTCACAGAAAATGGAATTAAAATACAAATATTTCGGTGCAAACCCATTTTGAAATCTATGTGTAGTTTTTTCAGAATACACATGTTCCACGAACTTTGAAGACTCCTCGAGGAAGTGATCTTGATGGATATGAAGCTAGAGAAAGTGGAGAGAGCCTCATGCCTGGGGACCTGTCAGAAACACTGTGGTCCCTACTTCATTCGTGAAGGGGGGGGGTCTCTGTCAGGAAATAGGAATGACCCTGATCTCAGTGAGATCAGTGTCTTTTTTTTACAGAATTATATTTAATTTTATTTACTTTTTTAAAACCAGAATGAGAGAGAGAAAGAAGAGGAAAGTGCTGGATCCGGGATTTGTAACTGTGGTCAGCCAGGTGGGAATCCAGCCCGTTAACCACCATGCCATCTGCCAGCCTGAGATCAGTGTGTCTGAACCACGGAAAATTGAGGACTTAGCTCTGCCATGGAAGGATAGGCATGCTGGGCTTAAGACTCTTAGGGGCAATGGCTCCTGCCACTGAGGTCGCACCATCCGAAGAAAGCCCTTTACCTAGGGCAGTGGTTTCCAGTCCTATGTGTGCACAGTCTCCTGGGAAGCTTTTAAGAGAGAGCAATGCCTGAACCTTTTTCAAAGGTTCTGCTGGAATGGGTTTGGGTTCTGTGTTTCGAAGCTCTCAGAGCTTTTAAGTTGATAACCATTGACCTTCTGTGAAGCCGAGGTTCACCAGAGGACAACACTGTCCTCAGCAGGGATTACGCTCTGGCAGACTCAGCAGGATACAGACAGGCCTGCTGTTGATAAGACATCAAGATGGAGGTAGAGCTTAGGAAGCAGCAATGGCTTAAGTTACAGGTGGTCAGGATAGTGTGGAATGGCTGGGGCTCAAAGACGCATCACTGGAAGCTACATAAATGAAGTGCAGAATAGAGCCTTACAGTAGCCGAGAGGCTGAGGGTCACCTGAAAGAGGATTCAAGAGGCAGAGCTCCAAAGCTAGGAACCCTGGACCTGCTCTGTAGTACAGTGGTTAAGCCCTGTGTGTGGAGAACCAGATCCTATGTGGTTGACCTTGGTTCAAGTCCTGGCCCCAGTGGCTTGAAAAAAACACCGAGTTTGTGTGAGTGTGCCCAAAATCTCATTGGGAAGGAGAAATAGAGAAGAGATAGACCGTACTGTGACCACACCCCACTGGGGGTGCCTTCTCTCTCTCTGACAAATATACATGCCCTCTGGCAAACGATCAATCATAAAAAATAAAACAGATTAAAAAGAAAAAAAGTGGGGCCAGCAGGTGGCAGGGTGGTTGAGGCACTGAACTCTCACATGGCTGACTTTGTGATTCCAGACTCAGACCCTGGAGCTTGAAGAGTACTCTAGGCGCGTGTGCATGCATACCCAACATCCCAAAAGGAGAATGGAGGAGAAGGGATTACAGCATGGCCATCCTCCCTGGGGAGTGGTTTCTCACTTTCCCTTTTTCTGTCTCTGGCAAGTTGCAGGTGCCCTTTGGCAAAAACCTGAAAAAAAAAAAGTTAGGAAATCTTCCTTAGGACAAAAATACTGAAGCTTCCACAGTGGCTATTCCCTCTGATGCAGCTGTTCCTGAAGACAACCTGATTATTTGGGCTAGACCTTAAACAGCAGTCTCCTCAGAGAGGTCTCCTCTGACAGCCTGCTGTGAATCAGCCCCCAGTCTGATCCGTTCCTTCCCTGTGTTAATCTGCATAGAACTGACGGTGCTTGTTCACAGTCGCTTGTGCAGTGGGTTAGCTCGTGAGCTTCTCTGATTACCTTCACCTTCCAGCCTTTGGGAGAGTGTCTGACACAGTGGGAAGCTCAATGTATATATATTTTTAAGGATGTGTTTATTTATCTATGTGTTTGTTGTGATTTTTAAGCCACCAGGTCCAGAACTTGAACTGTGGTCAGCCATGTGGGAATCCAGCGCCTTCACCATCATGCCTCCTGCTGACCCTCTTTATATGTTTTTTAAATGATTTAAAAACAATGATTTCTTCCACGACAGAGGGAGACAGAGAGGGAGAGAGAAGCACTCCCAGCAGGGTCTGCACATCATAATCGACTCCCAGCCTCAGCCAGCCCAGATCATGGGGACACCTGTGTCTGACATGACAGGGAGTCCCAGGACCTTCCCATGTGGTGCCAGCATCATGCAGCACTGTGCTACTGCTGCACCATGGCCAGCCTCAACACGTGTTGGTAGCATCTGCCCTATCAGAAAACGAAGTCGCAACAAATGTAGCTCGAAGATCTAATTGGCTTTTATTTTTGACACTAGAATTGGGCAAGGCCGCATTCTTTTTCGTTTGTTTTACTTTGTTAGAGGGCATTTGCATGCCTAGAAAGAAACAGAGACAGACAGAGAGGGAGAGGGCAGAGGCACCCCTGAATGTGGCATGGTCACACTGCCGTCCTTTCTCTCTTTCTTCATGCTGTTGGGATTTGGAGCCTGCATGCGCATGTACAGGGCATATTTTTTTTAAGTCTCTCTGGGGTTGTGACTGTGTGGTCGACCGTGTGGGATCCACCTCTCCTAACCACTAGGCTGTGGAGCTGGCCCAGACAACACCTTACGCTATAAAATAGAACGAGGGCTCCAATGGGTTGAGTAGAGGAAGTTGAGTTTATAGGCAGAAAAGTACAGAGGAAAGCAGGAGTAGGGAACAAGTGGGTTAGTTATTTCAAACTTACTTTCTTTAGAGGCTTGAAACAGAGTGGAATCAAAGTCAACAGGTAGCATGGTGGTTAAGGTACTGGACTCCCACATGGCCAACTGTGGTTCGAATCCCAAGCCTGGTGGCTTGTTTTCTCACTTTCCTTCTCTCTTTCTCTCTGTCTTTCTCTGGTAAGCACATATGCCCTATAGCAAATCAAAAATACTACTGCTAATAAAATAAATAATTATTAAACAAAGAGAACAGAGAGGACTTCTTGCCACACCAGCTCAGGTAGTGAGCTTTGATTGGTTGCTGTAAATTTCTTGCTTTTTGGAAAACTGACCCATTTCAAAGTTCAGTTTGACTGTGTTAGCACGAGTGACTCTATTCTGATTTGATTCCATCAGCTGGGGCCCGGAGCAGGAGTTCAGTCCAGGACAGTGGCCTCCCGTGAACCTTGGAGGGAACTTAACAGTGGAAAAGGCAGCAGGGTTTGGTGCCTCAGCATGACAGTGTCAGCACTGCAGCTGCAGAGGCTACTCGGGCTTGGTGCTGTCTGAGAGTTTGTGACTCAGCACCTCTGCTGGGCCCTTCAAACACTCACAGCAGCTCTCTAGAGGAAATACTGCTTCTGCCCTCATAGTACAGATGAGGAAACCGAGGGTCATAGGAGTTAAATAATTGGCTCAACATCCTAATTAAGATGGAGCTAGACCTTCTTTGCCCTCCTACACAAAACCCCCTTTCCCCAGCCTTTAGTCGAATTAGGAATTACAACTTTCTGAGTGACATAATTAAATTGAACTTGGAAATGGGCCAGTTCACCAAAAAGCAAAAGATGTACAGCAGCCCTTCAGGAAGGGCCCGTTTACCTGAACCGGCATAAGGAAGTCCCTTCTGTGTTGAGTCTGTAAGGAGAGTAATTTTAGACAAATGACAGCACTTACCCAATATGATCTGTTGACTTTCTGTCTCCAAGTGGAACGTTGGGTTTTCACTGTGGTTTCCTAGTTAAAATTCCTTTTGGAAAATGCCTGCCTCTTTCTCAAGGTTGAAATGAGGAGAAAGGAAGTTTTTCTTACCTCTTCAGGATCTGTAGGAGGATCCACAGTACCCAGCAATAACACCATGATGATGGCTACACCCTGGCCTTGGGCCCCAAGTCAGTGGTGGTGGTAGGGGGTTGTTCTCACCCTGCTGTCTACCTTCAGGTTTTCTAGAGAAAAGGTTCATGGAGCATTGGACCCTCCTAACCATGTAGACCTTAATGTAGACGTATAGAAAATGTAATTTGGGGCCAGCCCTAGCTGTGCAGGTGGTAGGGCTCTGCTGTGTGATACTGGAGCCATTCAGGAGGCTCCAGGTTCAGATCCCAGGTCTGTCTGAACATGCCTGGCATAACCACAGTTCCAGCTGAGTAGATGGAGGGGGATTGGAGGGAGCAGAAATCACTCTCTTTTTCCTTCTCTGTCTCTCTCTTGAAATAAATAAAAAAATTTTTAAAAATGTAAGTCTATATGTAAGAAGGCTTGCAGATAAAGAAACCCTAGGGTAAATCTTTTTGTACAGGGGAGAAACCAGTAGTTAGTGGAAATGATCTATTCCCAACTTATGTCTTGAGAGGTCAGATTTTCTTATGTTTTATTTTGCCTTTATGTAACCTATTTATTAAAAAGGCCTTTATTGAGCATCTATTCTATGCCCGATGTCACTGAACTTGGTATGTAGTAAATAACATCCTTTGAACTGGACTGCAGGCTCCACCACAGTGAGGACAGGCTCGAACTCCCTGACTAGTAGAACTCCTGGCAACTCCAAAGCCTTGCTACTTCAGAGTGGGTCTCTGCCCTCTGCCCTCCTGCCCTCACCTGCTGCCCTGGCACACCTTCACCTGGGACGAATGATCTGGGGAACTTTTGTTACCATGGCACAGAACAAAACAAGGAGAGCATAGAGGGGGAGAAAATAAACAGAAGCCAAAGCGTGTTCATACTCATGGCTTACCGACACGGTCCGTTACGATGACTGGCTCCTCAGTGTCGAATACGCTGATGGTTGCCAGTAAGACTCCGTTGATTCATTCTCAACCTATGGCTTTTTCTGTCCATTTCCCAGTATCCAGGAGCAAGACAAGAGGCTTCAAGCGCTGTGGAATGCCTGTGAAAAATTGCCCAAGGCCAATCACAACAACATCCGGTAAGTGGAAACCAAAGGCCCCTGGCTCGGGCTGTTTCATCCCCAGACACGTCGTTCTCCAGCTGAAAGTCACAGAACGAGCTTCAGCAGCATTTTATGGTGTCCAAGGTGGTGTTGATACACAGTGTCTTTTTTTTTTATTTTTTAAGAATTACTTATTTAATTTTATTTAGCATTATTATTATTTTGTAAATGTACTGGAGGGCACATGCACTCACCAGAGACAGAGAAAGTAAGAAAGCAAACCACCAGGTCCAGGACTTGAACCATAGTCGGCCAGGTGGGAGTCCAGCACCTTAACTAGCACACTGCTCACTGGCCCCATTCATTGTCTTTTAAACATCAGATATCCCTGTGATGTTGGCAGATAAGCAAACAGAATAAAAGACACTATGAGGGGGCTTTAAACAGCTTGTGGAAAATACATATTATAGAAAAACTAAATGGATTTCAAAATTGTTTTGCACCAAAATAAACTCCTCCTTTCATTCAGGTTTCCCATGGGCTTTTGAAGTCCCCTTGTATGACTGGAGCCAACCTAGCTAGCCATTGGCTGGTTCTGTTGAGTTTTTTGACTTATAAGAGCAATGATTAAGGCAAGCTTTTTTTTTTTTTTTAAAGAATTATTTATTTGATTTTATTTATTATCTCCATTCTTCAGTGTGACCAGAGAGAGAGAAAGAGAGAGAAAGTGAGAAAGCAGGCCACCAGATCCAGGACTTGAACTGTGGTTGACCATGTGGGAGTCCTGCACCTAAACTACCATGCCACCTGCCAGCCCCAAAGGCAAGCTACCTTAAGGTATTGGGGGTTTATGGTGTTCGTGGACACCTGGGAGGAGCTGGTCAGCACCGGGGCTGGAGGAAGCGGTGTCCTTGAGCTAGTTCCAAAGAAGGAGAGTTGAGAGAGGATCTTCTCCAGTGCTCTGCCAGCCAAGAGAGCCAGCTGTTCTCCACACTCTGCCTCTCACTGTTCTTGCCACCACCTGGGATGTTACTTCCTGCCGCTCTGCAGATCTTCCCTACCCCAGCTCCTGATCCTTCACACTCTGCTTCCTCACCACTTTGTACTGCCAGCACCTCCTAGGGCCTGCCGCTCCCCTCTGCTGCGCTTCTTAAGATTTCAGCTTCACTCCTTCTGCCATCTGCCTGATTATTTCTGTTGGCCTATTAAAAAATCCAAAGAGCAATGGGATGATAGTTATTCAGAAAATTAAACATAGAATTACCATCTGATCTTGCAGTTCCACATTGAATTTATATACCAAAAAAAAAACCAAAAACAAAAAACCACAAAGCGGAGGACTTGGTATGTGGACACCCCTGTTTGTAGCAGGATTATGCACTGTGGCCAAAAGGTACAAACCTGCATGTCCATTGACAGGTAAATGAAGAAACAAAACACGTGTGCTGGGACCATTAGGTGGCATGGTGATTAGGGCACTGGACACTCCCATATGATTGATCACAGTTTGAGTCCCGGACCTGGTGGCTTGGTTTTCTCACCTTCCCTCTTTCTCACTCTGTGTGTCTCTCTCTGGTCAAATTAAAATAGGTGAATGAATTAAAAAAAAATGAAAAGAAATAATAATTTTTAAAAATGTGTGTGCTATTCACAGAGTGGAACAGGACACCTGAACACATGCTGCAGGGTGGATGGGCCTTGGGGCCGTTATGCGAAATGAAAGGAGCCAGACAGAAAGAACTAATGCTGTGTGATTCTGCTTGTACGAAGTACTTAGAATAGTCAGATTCATGGCCATAGAATGTGGAATGGTGGTTGCCAGAGGGTGGGGGTGAGGGTGGGAAACTCGTTTACACAGTCAGTTTCATGTAGACAGGGGGGGCCTTCAAAAATTCATAGTGGAACTAGCTGGTGGTGTGGTGTTTAAGGCAGCTGGATTCACGTGACCGGCGGCATAATTCAAGTCCCAGACCCAGCAGCTTGGAAAACACACCATGTCCATGTGCGTGCATGTCCGAAATCCCACGAGGAGGGAGAGATGGAGGAGACGGGATTGTGGTGTGACTATACCTCATAGGGGGTGCTTTCTTGCTTTCTCATTCTCTTTTTCTCTCTCTCTTGAGCTCATGTACCCTTTGGCACATTAAAAAGAAAAAAATGTAAAAGAATAGTTCATAAAAAGTACATATTAGGGCCAGCAGGTGGTGTGGAGGTTAAGGTGCTCGATCCCATATGGCCAGCTTTGCAGTTCGAGGCCAGGACCCGGCAACCTGGCAGCTTGAGAATCACACTGGACGCATGTGTGTATGTGCCCAAAATCCAGAGAGGAGAGAGGAGGAGAAGGGATTGCTGCATGCTCACCTCCCTGGGGGTGATTTCTCTCTCTCTCTGGTGAATGTATATGCCCTATAGCAAAAGCATTTTTTTTTTAAAAAAAAGTGCATATTATGAAAAAACTGCATGATTTTGACATTTTTTGCACTGAAATAAACTTGTACTTTAATTCCACTGACTGAATACCCTTTGTATTTTACCATAATTTAAACAAAACAAAACAAAAACAAAAACATGGCAGCAAGAGTGAGAATAGGATCAGTGCAACTCATCGCGTGTTGCTGATGTAATCCCAGGCCCTGGGAAGCCCGTGACTGGCTGCTCTCAGTTTGGGACCTATGTCCTGGGCCAGACTCCTGTGGCCTCTTGGAGGGTGGGACATGGCCAGCGAAGCCATGGTTGCAGTTGGCACATGACAGCCCAGAGAGTACCTGGTAGGACCCACAGTCTGCTGGGCTTCGTACTGGGCTGGCAGAGATGAGGGAACTCCAAGGATCACTCTACGGGGACCCAAGTAAAACAAAGTGGGAGTCAGCAGGTAGCGTAGTGGTTAAGGCTCTGGACTCCCACATGGCTGACTGACTACAGTTCGAGTCCTGAACCTGTGGGGGTCCTGGGGTGCAAACCCAGGACCTTCATCATGTGGGTTCAGCTTGTCCCCATCGTGCTGCCTGGCTTCTGTATTTTTTTAAAATAACTTTATTGAGATATAATTCACATGCCATTGTACTTTCTTAAAACAGGCAATCTAGTGGTTTTCAGGAGCGTCATAGAATTGTGCAACTGCCGCTGCTTATTTGAGAACAGTGGCTGTTCCCATGAGTGGTCACTCCTTATTTCCCCCTACCTTGCCCCTAGCAACTGCTAATCTACTTTCTGTCTCTATGGATTTGCCTGTTCTGGACATTTTATGTGGATAAAATCATGTCATTTGTGGTCTTTTGCATCTGTCTTCTTTCATATAGCAGCACATTTTCAGGCTTTATACTGCAGGATGTATTGGTACTTTTTTCTTTTGATGGCTGTATAATATTCCATATGTATCCATTCATCCCTTAATGGGCACTTAGGTGGTTTCTTGGTTTTTGCTATTATGAATCGTGCTGCTGTGGGTGGACCTTTTTTCTCTTGGATATATTCCTAGGAGTGGAATTTTTGGATCATAAGCTAAATCCGTATTTGACTTCTTTCTTGGATTTTTCCAGAAAGCCCATGTGAGGGTAATTCCAGGAGAGACCACCCTTGGTGTGCAGGTACCCACATTACCGAGACACTTTGCTATCACCTCTGCACACAGCAGGGATAGCAGGTAACAGGATTGGAAAAGAGAAGAGCGTTAGGTCATTGTGTACAGAGTCAGAAGGAAAGGTAGAGACTTTTTCTGGCCCGTGTGGGTCGAAGCGGATGTTGACATCACACCGCATCTGTCTGCTTTGGGAAAGAGAATACAAGATTCCTGTTTCTCGCACCTTCATTAAATTGTGGGAAGTTGGAGTCTCGTTATCAGAAAGATGTGCTACATGAAAGAACTTTCTTCTCTCTTACTTAATTTTTTTAGTTTTTCTATAGGGTGTGTTCGCTCACCAGAAAGAGACAGAGACAGGGAGAGAGAGTGAGAAGTCACCACCCCAGCAGATGACCACGCCCTGGTCCCTTTTCCTCGTCTCCTCCCAGGATCTTGGGCACACATGTACATACACAGCTAGCCACGGGTCCAAACTATGAAGTCAGCCATGTGGAATTTAGCACCTTAATTTCCACACCTCCTGTTGGCCACATAAAAGAAGTTTCTTTTGGACCCAGCAGGTGGCGTAGTGGTGAAGGCATTGGACTCCCACATGGCCGAATGTGGTTTGAATCCCAGACCTGGAGGCTTGAAACTCACACTAGGCGCATGTGCATTCATACATGCCCAAAATCCTGAGAAGAGAGTGGAAGAGAAGGGATCATGGTGTGGCCATCCTCCCAAGGGAATGATTTCTCATTTTCTCTCTCTCTGTCTCTCTGGTGAGCACAGGGATCCTATAGCAAAAATCTCTCTCTTTCTCTCTCTCTGAAAGAATTATTTAATTAACACTTATTTATAAATTTATTTATTTCAATTTGACCAGAAAGAGACAGAGTAAAAGAGAGAGGGAAAGGATGAAAGCAAGCCTCTAGGTCTGGGCTCGAACCATGGTCAGCCATGTGGGAGTCCAGCGCCCTTAACCATTATGCCACCTGCCAACACCGCAAAAATCTCTTTAAAAAAAAAAAAAAAAAAAGACGTTTCTATCTAGCCCTTGGGGAACATGGTAGGTGTCCAGCCCTCATGAAATCTGACCCTCACATTCTTTTTCAGCTACTTGATCAAGTTTTTATCCAAGCTGTCAGAATACCAGGATGTCAACAAGATGACTCCCAGCAACATGGCCATTGTGTTAGGCCCCAACCTCCTGTGGCCACAAGCGGATGGGTGAGTTGGGGAGGGGACCTGTGCTGTGTGCAGACGGGCTGCAGGACAGGGCACGGGGAGCGGCTGGCCACGCCCACTGGCCTTTGGAGTTCTGTTTCTGCGGAGCCTGCTCCTTGCTCAGGCCGAGGATAAGGGGCAGAATGCTACAGGTCTTTCTTACTGATCGCCTCAGAGCTGCAGGTCTGAAATACAGGTCTTCTCTGAGCTCATCTACGTCAGCATCAGAGAGAGGTGGCACCAGGCCAGGCAGGGCCCCTAAGTTGCTGTCGGGAGAGGATTCATCCCAGCATCAGGATTCAGAGGGATGGAGGGCGCCTCCAGAGAAGGCGTGTGGTTGGAAAGAGTTCGAGGCTGGAGGTGATGAGACTCACTCCTCACACTGACGCTCTCTCACGGGTCTTGCTCGTTTTCCCCAGGCTTCGCCCCATTCTGTAGATGAAAAAGAGAAGTTCAAAAAAGTGAAGCGTCTTCCCCAAGAGAAAGCTGGGTTTCGGGTTCTGCCCAGGGTCCCTCCTCTCTGTGGCCGGAGGGCCGTAGGCCTCTTACCACGTTCTCCTCTGCTCTACGCTTGCAGGAACATCACTGAGATGATGACCACGGTTTCCCTGCAGATTGTCGGGATCATCGAGCCCATCATCCAGCACGCAGACTGGTTCTTCCCTGGGGGTATGTGGCTGCATGCAGGTGTGGGGGCGCGAGGCAGGGAGCAGGAACAGCACTGGGAGTTCTGAGCCTTTGGGCCAAGTGCCATTGCTCACAGATTTCTGTTTATTTTGTTTTTAACACACACACATGCAAATACACCCAGGTATCCAGGGGAGTCATGGCAGCTTCTTCTTCTCTAGTCCCTGTCCAAGGGAAGTTCTGGCTCAAAGCTGTCTGCACTAGTTGGGTCCACGACTGGTCTAACATCCACACCGTGTTTTCTGCTAATCCATGGACCGTGCAGTGTTGGTACAGGAAGGAACGAGAAATTCTCTGCTTCAAACCCTTCATTGTCTAGTTTTAGGGAGGTGGAGACCTCAGACAGGTAGGACTTCTGTTTGGGGCTTGCTGACCTCGTGGGTCCCATCCTCCTCCTACTCTAACCTGTGGCCTTTGAATTGTCTCTGAGAGGTGGGTCTCAAAGGCAGTGAGATTATTTATTGTGCCTGGCTAAAAAAAATTAGGCTGCCAGGGAACCAGCAGTTAGCGTAATGGCTATGTCGCTGGACTCCCACGTAGTCGACCGCGGTTTGCGCCCCGGACCCGGTGGCTTAAAACTCACGTCGGGCGCATGTGCGTGTGTTCATGCCCAAGATCCCGAGAGGAGAATGGAGGAGAAGGGATTGCGGCGTGACCATCCCCCCTGGGGGGTGATTTCTCGCTTTCTGTCTCTACGTCTCTCTCTGTCTGGCTGGCAAGCGCACGCGCCTTATAGCAAAAACCTCTCCAAAAAAAAAAAAAAAATATATATATATATATATATATATACTGCCAAAGCCTCTTCCTAAGAAGGAATTCCAGAGATATTCTGAGCCATAGATGCATCATATAAGTATTCATATATATGACTCTTGGTGGGGGTGGCTTTTAAGAGACAGCAGTTGTTACAGTAAATACATTCAATATAACGTCAGCAGGGCCAATAGGTGGTATGGTGCTGAAGGTGTTTGTAAGAGGCCTTCATGGCTGACTGCACTTTGAGTCCTGGGCTGGGCACCTTGAAAATCATGCTGGGTGTGTCTGGGTGCGTGTGTTCACGTGCACAAAATCCTGGGAGGAGAATAGAAGAGAAGGGATTGTGGTGTGACACCCCACCCCCACCCGGGGGGGAGTGATTACTCACTTTCCCTCTCACTTTCTCTGTCTCTCTCTCTGGTGAGCATACCTATGATAAAACAAAACAAAAATAAAAAACCTTAATAAGAAAATAAGTAATAACAATCACATGGACACTGTGTCTTACGTTTAATAAGCACGAAGGGTGTGTTTTGGCTGTGCAACAGCAACCATTATTTCAGGTGAGCATAAAATGTTAAAATATTCTGTGCTCTATCCATTTCCCCATCACAGATAATCAATTAATGTTGACCTAACTTTGATATTTGATTAGTTTTCTTTTGCTTTAGGTGTTTTGACTTTGAAAGCTCCGAACTGCTGTTCTGTTAAGAATTCTATTGATGATACAAACTTGAGTGAGATTAGGAAATAAAGAAAGACAGGAGATAGGAACTGAAGGCAGTAATTCTGTCGATTGTACAGATGAGTAAATTCGTTATCATTGCTGACAGACAGAATTGTGCAGAGCCAATCACTGTCATTGAACAAGACATGATGTGATGAATACTTCCATTTAACTATTTGGTAGCCAATAACCTGATCCATTCTTAATATTTCTATCATTTTTAATTTATACTCTTTTGTTTTCTAAAAAGACAATATCATCATCTACAAATACTCATAATGCCTCTTATTTTATTTTCTTGACTAATTGCATTGGCCAAAACTTCTCGCGTGGTGTTAAATAACAGTGACGGTGGGCATTTTTTTTCAGATTTAGTTAGGATCCTTCTAGTGTCTTCGTTGTGAGTTTGAGAAAGATAATTTTGTCTTTTTCAGAAAGTACCATGGGTTTTTCTGTTTAAAACCATAAGCAGGCATTATTAAATGCCTACCTAGGTGATCTTCCTTGGTCTGTTAATATGATGAATTTTATTAAGAAGGTGAATTCATGTCGAGCCATAGGATGAATTTTTTTAGTGTGAAAGAGAGGCCATCTCTGCACACCCATCTCCTTCCCAGGAAGGGAATGACTTTCCAAGAATTCACATGTACTGGTTCTTTCTTCCCCACAGAAATAGAATTCAACATTACAGGCAATTATGGAAGCCCGGTACATGTGAACCATAATGCCAACTACAGCTCCATGCCCTCCCCAGACATGGACCCCACTGACCGGCGCCAACCTGAACAGGCCCGCCGGCCCCTCAGCGTCGCCACGGATAATATGATGCTGGAGTTTTACAAAAAGGATGGGTATGAAGCAGTGTCCCTTTTTCAGCGTTGGGGATTGGGGGACTTGGGGGTGGATGAGATGTAAGGAAAAGCAGGGTGTGCAGGAAGGCTGCCCTGGTCAGCACTTTAGGTGACTCATAGCCGTTAACCTGTTCCCTCGTTCTCGGCTCTTCTGTCCTCTCTGTCTGAGACAAGCCCCTTTGGCTTGCTTCTCTTTGGGCCAGAGGTAAGTACAGCCTTCTTCGCTACACCATTGTGCTCAGAACTGATTAGGTCTCCTCAAAAGAAATAAAAGTTAACCACAAGGGAATTACATAGCACTTTATTTTGACTCAATGTGTAAATGTAGATCAATTCTCGAATCTTTAGTGGCTTCGCTTTGATTATAGAAATGTTCATTTACATTCTTCAGAAGCATCCTTCCATAAACAACACCTTTCATGCGTAGTTTAACATTCCCAGCTTCGGTCTTTTAAAAATAGAGAGAGAACATGAAACGTGAAGCAATCGGAGTGTGAAGTTCCTCTAGATTGTTAAAATGTTTTCTTATCTTTGTGATTGACACCCATGCCTACTTTTTTTTTTTAAGCGTATTTATTTCTTTCATGAGAGAAAGATGGAAACCCCTGACAAGGTCTCATTACCACATTGCAGTCCCATCCCCGCAACCCCGCCAACCCCTCCAGCCAGCCAGGATCTCAGTTTGCCTATGGGCATGCCCAGCAATGTTCTGGTCAACCCAGGATCTGAACCCGGGGCCTTCCCATGTGGCTCCAGAATTGCACAGTGGTATCCTGCTCTCTGCCACCATGGCTGGGCTCCATACCTTCTTTGACATAGTTAAGAGACTTATTAATGCACCCAACTTAAGGTACATGGGAACCACCCTCTCCACTCGTATTAAATCAGTTTGCCTAATATTTAACAATGCAACAGGATTTGCATAATAAGTAATGGCATAAATAGGCTTCTTAACAAGCGCAGCTGACACGTGGTAAACACCAGCTCAGCTTTGGCAACCATAGCGTGTGGACCAGTAAGGATGGATAGCAAGCCAAGGTTTCACAGAGGCAGTGGGTTGCATTGGTGGGTCAAACAAGTCAGTTAAGTCAACTTTGACTAGAAATTGAACATCACAGAACCAGCAGGCAGCGCGATGGCTAGGTCACTGGACTCTCACATAGTTGACCACATTTCGAGTCCCAGATGCAGTAGCTTAAAACTCAAGCCAGGAGCTTGTGCGTGCATGCCCAAAAGCCCGAGAGGAGAATGGAGAGGAAGGGATTATGGCATGGCCACCTGCCTTGGGGGGAGGGGGGCATAATTTCTCTCTTCTGTCTCTCTGGGGAGCACACGTGTCCTATAGTAAAAATCTCTCTCTAAAAAAAAAGAAAGAAATTAAACATCACACCTATTAAATACAATTTCTGTAGAAAAGGAACATTATGGCTCCTGAGACATAATCAAGAGTACATCCAACACAGCTAAGTCCTGTTTACTTGGTGAGAAATGCTTAGTTCTTGGGAACCAGCAGTTAGCATAATGGCTATGTCGCTGGACTCCCATGTAGTCGACCGCGGTTCGTGTCCCGGACCCGATGGCTTAAACTCACGCTGGGTGCGTGTGCGTGCGTGCCCAAAATCCCGAGAGGAGAATGGAGGAGAAGGGATTGCGGCGTGACCATCCCCCCTGGGGGGTGATTTCTCGCTTTCTGTCTCTCTGTCTCTCCCTGTCTGTCTGGCGAGCGCAGGCGCCCTATAGCAAAAACCTCTCTAAAAAAATGAAAAAAAAAAAAAAAAAGAAATGCTTAGTTCTTCTCTCAGATACGTGATTCTGCTTTTATTTGAGTAAAATTAAGGTACTTAAATTTGCATGGTAGAAGGAAAGGAGAATATGAACCAATATGTTATATAGATATTTTTGTTTTGTTTTGTTTTGTTTTAGTTTTTCTCTAGATGTACACACTTTCCAGAAAGAGACAGAGAGCTAGTGGGAAAGTGAGAAATCTCCCCCCAGGGGAGACGGCTACATCGCAATCCGTTTTACTCCAGTCTACTCAAGATTTTGGGCATGCACACACATGTGACCAGTGTGACTTTTAAGCCACTGGGGGGTCCAGGACTCAAGCCATGCAGTCTGCTATGTGAGAGCCAGCACCTTAACTTCCACACCCCATGCTAGCCCTGTAGATAATATTTTCTAATGAAGTGAAAAGACATGCAGACTTCAAAAGATAAACAATAAAGAAATAAATAAGCAACTACTTTTTCAAGGTCGATGAGACCATGCAATGCAGTATTGATGGGGATATCAGAAATGCAGATGCCAGGAAGTGACGCAGCTGCCACTTCTCTGCTGGGCAGACCACTGGGCAGCGAGGAGGTCCGTTTGAAGGCCGGTTTGACCTAAAGGCCTTAGGCGGGAAGGCTGAAAACCCAAACTGCAGAGGCGCACGAGTCTTCCTTTTCACCTGTTTTCTTTCTGAGTGCGAGCTGAGTGTGGAGACCCGGAGTTGGCAGAGGAGACCTAGGCCTGCTGGGGGTGGTTTCAGAATGGCCGGTCTCCCTGCCTGTCACCTTGCTCATCAGGCACCCGTATGTGTGAGGCGGCTGGAAGTTGTTTGGGTGCACTGTGCTGTTGTTTGCTGTTCTCTGTCTAGGAAGGGGGGAGGGGGAGGAAATTCCTAGAAATTCAAGTGAACAGAGGAAAACTTCAGTCTATAAAAGGAGCATACTTAGAGAAACGGAGATAGACCTAGAAGACGTGTTGAGATTTGTATTTGAATCTCTTTCTAAGTCACTCAGTTCCTTTGTGAAATCTCTCTGAGCTGAGGAGATGCTCTGGAGGGTAAAGTCTAGTCCTGACTGGGTTATGCTTGCAGGGAATGCCTCCTGTGTGGTCCCAGGTCCTTCTGCATTTTCCACCCTCTCACCTTCCCTGCTTGATTCCCAGGACCCCCTAAAAAGCCACCCAGATGCTCTTAGCTTAACGGGAGTTAATGGCTGCAGAACCACTGGGTCAGCGCCCACTGGCCTGTGGTAGTGAGCACGCAGATGCAGAAGCTTGAATGACGGCACTTTGAGCAGACACCTCATCTCCGTTACGAAGTACTCTTGCTTGAGGACTTTCTAAATGATCTGCCTATTCTGTGCACTGTTCTGATTTTAGGTTGAGACCAGACCCCTCTACTTCGGGTACAAGAGGGATACCACAAAACTTATTTTTGTGTGCGAAATGAAAATATTTTATGTATTCTTTTTTTTTGGGAGAGGTTTTTGCCAGACAGACAGAGAGAGACAGAGAGACAGAAAGCAAGAAATCACCCCCCAGGGGGGATGGCCACACTGCAATCCCTTCTCCTCCATTCTCCTCTTGGGATCTTGGGCCCGCACACGCACCTGGCGTGAGTTTAAGCCTCCGGGTCCGGGACTTGAACTGTGGTCGACTACGTGGGAGTCCAGCGACATAGCCATTACACTAACCGCTGGTTCCTATTTTATGTATTCTTAATTTTGCATGAAATATTCAATTCAATGGAGATCCCACCAGTTTGTGATTTATGTGAACCTTATCATCTGTACATGTTTTAAGATACGGTGAGTTTATAGAAGATCAGTTCTTTAGTGGTTTTAAGAGAAAAAGAAACCTTATATTATAAATGGCTTGGGGGAAAGAAAAGGAATATGTATCCATTGAATTGCAATGTTATCTTAACAAGATTAGGGGAATTCTATGCATTTCTTCCTGTTTTTTTGACTTTTATTATTTTAATTGCCAGAGGGTGTGTGCACATTCTAGAGAAACAGAGAGGGACAAAGAATACCCAGTGGGGCATGGTCACACCACAATCCCTTCTACTCCATGTCTCCATCCCGTTGGGACACACACAGATGCCTGGCATGTTTTTCAAGCCACCAGACAGGATTCAAACTGTGGTAGGCCATGTAGAATCCAGCTCCCTTAGGCACTAGACTACAGAGCTGCCACCTTATTTTTGACCTTCTAAAATCTATGAGATGCTTTTTTTTTTTTTTTTTTTTTAATGATAGGGTGCATGCATGCCAGATAGAGAGAAGCGAGAAAGAGAAGCACCCTCCACAGAGGTAGGTCACTCTGTCATCTCCTTCTGCTAGTCCTTCAGCCGACCAGGATCCTGGGTGCAGGCACTTTGCATGTTTTTCAGGCTGATCAGTCTGGTGACTCAAACCATGTTTGGCATATGGTTTCCAGATCCATAGTCCAGCACTTTATGACTAAGCCACAGAGTGTGGGCCTGGAAAATATATTTTAAAATCTTCAAATTGCCCATTGAAAGACCAGCAAATTAAAACTCATAATACTGAACTTTTCCCACCAGGTTAAAAAGTGAATATGGGGGCCAGCTGATGGCATAGTGGTTATTTTGCTGGACTCTCACATGGCCAACCACAGTTTGAGTCCCAGACCAGTGACTTGAAAATTATACCAGGCACATGTGTGTACGTGTCCAGGATCCTTGGAGGAGAAGAGATTGTGGCAGGGTCATCCCCAGGGGGAGTGATTTCTCACTTTCCCTTCCACTATTCCTATCTCTCCCTCCAGTGAGTGCACATGCCCTAAAGCAAAAACCTCTCTCAACAACAACAACAAAAAGTAAATATGAATTGTATAGCAATAAAACTGTTACTAACAAAAATTTTTTAAAAGAAAATTTGGGGCAGAGAAAAATGATAAAATCAGGAAGGAATGGGAAGCTTCCCATCCATGATGTTTTAATAGGCTGATGGCTGTTACATTCCAGGCATCATACAAAGTGGTATGTTGCCTTCTTTCTTCAGGGCTTTGGACCTGATACCTTTCCAGTTCAGAAAACAATTTCTTTAGCAAGTTCTGGGGTCAGACTCAAGAACTCACCTAAATATTTTTCATCAGTGTATGTCGGTATCTCTCAAAAGATCAGGTCCTCAACCCTGGAGTCTGTACATACAGCCTGGAAAGAGTCTTTGAAGATGTTCGTAGAAGGATATCGAAGTAAGGAAATC